TGGCTTCTCCAAACAGCAAGGTGAGGACTGAGTCTCCAAAGCTGCAGAACCGCGCAAGGGCTGTGGCAACGCTTTGGAGGTGGTGCCGTTGCCCAGGCCGAGGCATGCAGCAGCCGTGGCCCAGAGAGCACCTTTGTAGGGGCACTCGGGTCCAGGGAGGCTTGTGGCTCGTGAAGGACTTGTGTTTGCTCCCCCCTCCTTTTGCCTGCCTGAAACTGCAGCTTCGGCGCTCCCAGGACTGGGCTTGGGTTGTCCTTGGCTGCTTTGTCTAGATTCGATGTGTGTGTGACAGTGTGGCCCATGCTTGGTTTCAGACGGCTACTACATCTACCTGCAAGGGACTGATGATGCTCTCTCCGGGTTTGTGGCTGTCCTGGTCGGTCCGGTGTGCAGCTGGGAAGGAACGCACTGCTTCCGCTTCTGGTACCACATGTACGGAAACTCTGAAATGGCCCTGCGGGTGTACGTGGCAAAGGACTCTGAGCAAGTGGAGGTGTGGAATCAAGAAGGGAACCATGGGGACATGTGGCATTTGGGAGAGGTGACGGTGCACATCACAGGGAATACGCAGGTAAGGGCACAGGCTCTCACTGCCACCTAAGAGGAACCGTCCTTTCTAACGGCGCTTCACACGTGCGGCCAGAGCTAATGCTGGGAACAATTCCTTCCCTTAGATTTTGCTGGAGGGACAGTGGGGCGAAGATGCCCGGAGCAACGTAGCATTGGATGATCTGTCCATTGAAAAGGGATCCTGTGCAGGTACAAGGCTTGACTGGGGAAAGGGCAGCTTGAGACATGTCACCAACTGAGCTGGCAGGCTGTGCTAGAGGCAGGAGCACAGGTTGTCTCTGCAGTGCCCTGTAGGGCACTGATGCCCCTGTGCCCAAGCCGGCTTTCTCCTGGGAGACTGGAGCACTGGCAATGCCTGTTTTAGTCTGTGTGTTACAAGGCCCACAGACAGGACATTGACCATGAGACTGAAGTGCCTTACTTGCTTTTGTCACCCAGCTGTGCTGCTGGCTGAGCCCTTGGGTGGGAGGGTTCTTCCTGAGTTGACACGCTTCACTGTCTCTTCTGGGCATGCCTGGTAATGGAGTTGGGTGC